AGGGGAGGGGAGGGGAGGGGAGGGGAGGGGGGGAGGGGGGGGGAGAGAAACAGAAACACAAACACGGGTGAGGAGAAGCCTCACGGGCTCCTCCCGGCTGGCGCTGAGGGGGCGGCCGCGGCCGGGCAGGGGCTGAGGGCGAGGGGGCGGCCGCGGTGCCGGGGGCCCGCTCTCCGCCTTCTGCACCGACCGACCGACCGACCGACCGACCCACCCGGAGCCGCCGCGCACACGTCTAGCGGGGCCCGGGCACCGGAGCTGCGAGGCCCGTGACCGGAAGTGGGGCGCGGCTCCCGCAGGAGGGGGCGGGCCTGTGCGTGGACCTTTCCCGCCGCCCGGCTCCTGCGCGCTCGGCCCCGCGGCATCACGCGCGCACACGCGCCCGGCGCAGCGCCGCAGCCCTGTTTCCCGGAGGGCGGGGCGGAGGGACCTGCGGCACGAACCCGTGTCCCAGCCGCCTCACACCCCCCCCCCCCCTCTGTGATGGTGACCCGGAGCGACCCGGCCGGTTCTTTCCCGCCCCGGCCCCGGTCCCCGGGGGACGGCCCGGTGCTTGGCCCGGGTTCGGTTCCGTCCGAGGCAGGAGCTCCGGTTGGTTGGACCCGGGCCCCGGGTGGGCGTGTGTGGGAGGCAGCCCGTCAGTGTCCCTCTCATCGTTGATCTCTTTCTCTCTCTCTCTCTCTTAAAATCAATAAAACCTCTTTTAGCCAAAACCGGTTTGGCTCAATGGATAGAGCGTTGGTCTGCGGACTGAAGGGTCCCGGGTTCGATTCCGGTCAAAATAAAAATATTGTACAAAATCAAAATATATTAAAAATATATTTATTAAAAATAAATAAAATTTAAAAAGGCATTTACTATGCCTATAATGATTTTTTTAAAAGTAAAAAGAAAAAGCCACAAAAAAACCTTTTACTTTTCATTATTGTTTTTAATCCTCACCGAGGATATTTTCCCAATGATTAGAGCGAGGGAAAGAGGGAAGAGAAACATCCATGTGAGAGAAACACATGAATTGGGCGCCTCCTGCAGGAGTCCTGACCTGGGCCTGGGAGAAGCATGCAGCCCAGGTGTGTACCATTGACTGGACTCGAACCCACGACCCTTTGGTCCCCAGACTGGTGCTCTATCCACTGAGCAACACCAGCCAGGGCATTTTTCTTTTTTTAAAAAAAATACATTTTTTTTAATTTTTTACAGAGAGGAAGGGAGAAGGATAGAGAGTTAGAAACATCGAGGAGAGAGAAACATTGATCAGCTGCCTCCTGCACACACACACACCCCCACTGGGGATGTGCCTGCAACCAAGGTACATGCCCCTGATCGGAATCGAACCCGGATCCCTTCAGTCTGCAGGCCGACGCTCTATCCACTGAGCCAAACTGGCTTTGGCTTTCTTTTCTTTTTTAAAGTATGTTTTTATTGACCTCAGAGAGGAAGGGAGTGGTAGAGAGAACCCGAACTATCAATGATGAGAGAGAATAATTGATCAGCTGCTTCCTGCACACCCTCCACGGGGGACTGAACCTGCAACCCGGGCCTGTGCCCTCGACCAGAATGGAACCCGGGACCCTTTAGTCAGACCAGCCAGGGTGATAAAAACATATTTTAAAAAATCAGTGGGAAAACAGCCTCCGGTGAGGATTAATACCGTAAAAAGGAAGGGCTTGTTGTGGGGCGGAGCAGGGGGAAGGGGCCGAAGGGGGCAGTGGGGAGCATCAGTAATACCCTCAACAATAAAATCAGATAAAATAATCTTCCTCGGAGCCTTTATCGGAACAAAAGTCTACTTGGCACGAAAAAGAAGCTCGGCTTCTAGAAAGAAACGTGGGCGTGGGAGCCGCCGCCTCGTCCCCTCACCGGGACCGAACCGGCACCCCTCGGGCGTGTGCCGAGCCCAGCGCCAGGCGGACTCCGGGCCTCCATGAAGTGGGGGCCGGCACTGCACACACGTGGTCTCAGGAGCCCGCTGAGCGCACACGTGTGAACCCTGTTCAGGAGATGCCGGCTCCCCAGTGGGGCTGGCGGCCGGGCGGGAGGCAGCCTGCAGTTCCCGCTGAGAGGCTCGCAGTGGGTGTGTCCAGTGCCCCTCACCGGGTTCGAGTTTCCCGTGATCCCAATTGCTTAAGAGTTCCTACCGGGAGCCCTGGCCAGGGGGCTGGGGCGGGGGGAGGAAGCACTGGCCCACGTGCACGGGTTTGATTCCCGATCGAGGGCATGCACCTGGGCTGCAGGTCGATCCCAGGCCCCGGCCTGGCGGGTGTGGAGGCAGCCAGTCAGGGTGTCTCTCATTGATGTTTCTCTCTCTGCTCCCTTTCGCTCTGAAAACCCAGGGACAGAATATCCTTGGGCAAGGATGAACAAAAACCTTTTATTTTTTATTTTTGTTGTTAATCCTCACCTGAGGGTGTTTTCCGTTGACTTTTTTGGGGGCAGTAGAAGGGTGGGGAGAGCTGCCAGCCGAGGTCCATGCCCAGTACTGAGCCCAGGCCCCTCCCTTCAGTCCACGACTGGTGTTCTACCCACTGAACCAACCGGCTAGGCCCATGGTCGGCAAACCCGTTAGTCAACAGAGCCAAATGTCAACCGCACAAGGACTGAAATTCCTTTGGAGAGCCACATTTTTTACCCTTAAACGTCTTCCAATGCCACTTCTTCAGCACAGACCTGCCCAGGCCGTGGTGTTTTGTGGAAGAGCCACACTCAGGGGGCCAAAGAGCCGCTGTGTCCATGGGGCGTGCTCACTGCCCGCCGCCCTCACGGTGCCGATCACAGGCTCACCGTGCCCGTCTCCCTCACGGTGCCCGCCGCCCTCGCGGTGCCCATCATGTTCACGGTGCCCGTCGCCCTCACCGTGCCTGTCGCCCTCGCTGTGCCCGTCGCCCTCGCCGTGCCCGTCGCCCTCGCCGTGCTCGTTGCCCTCGCTGCCCGTCGCCCTTGCGGTCACTCCGGGGCCTCCCGGGGTCCAGCAGCCCCACAGGGACACCTGTGGGCAGGCGGGCTGGTTCTGGGCTGGAGATGCTGCGTCAGGGCCGTCTTGAGGCTGCAGCCCGTCTGGCTGGTGAGCCTCTGCCTCGGCGCCGGCTCGGAGCTGTGCCCCCGGCCTCCCCGAAGGCAGCAGGTGGCCTCGTGGCTCCAGGGGGCGCTCCACTCACCTTCCTTCCCTCCCGATCCAGTCTGAGGGCGAGAGGCGGGGGGTTAGCACTCCTCCGGGCCCAGAGCAGGGGGCCGTGCTGTGGGGGGGGCGGAGGGAGGCTGTGATGTGGGGGGGGCTGTGAGGTGGGGGGGCTGTGAGGTGGGGGGCGCTGTGAGGTGGGGGTGGGGGTGACATGGGGGGGCTGTGATGTGGGGGGGCTGTGATGTGGGGGGGCCGTGATGTGGGGGGGCCATGATGTGGGGGGGGCGGAGGGAGCCCGTGATGTGGGGGCCATGACGTGGGAGTGGGGGGCCGCGGGGGGCTGTGAGGTGGGTGGGGGCCGTGGGGAGGTTGTGAAGTGGGGGCCATGACAGGGGGCTGTGAGGTGGGGGGGGCTGTGAGGTGGGGGGGCCGTGGGGGCTGTGAGGTGGGGGGGGCCGTGGGGGGCTGTGAGGTGGGGGGGCCGTGGGGGGCTGTTAGGTGGGGGGGCCGGGGGGGGCTGTGAGGTGGGGGGGGCTGTGGGGGGCTGTGAGGTGGGGGGGCTGTGAGGTGGGGGGCTGTGAGGTGGGGGCGCCGTGGGGGGCTGTGAGGTGGGTGGGGGCGCCGTGGGGGGCCGTGAGGTGGGGGGGGCCGTGGGGGGGCTGTGAGGTGGGTGGGGGCGCCGTGGGGGGGCTGTGAGGTGGGTGGGGGCCGTGGGGGGGCTGTGAGGTGGGTGGGGGCCGTGGGGGGGCTGTGAGGTGGGGCGCCGTGGGGGAGCTGTGAGGTGGGGGGGCGTGGGGGGCTGTGAGGTGGGTGGGGGCGCCGTGGGGGGGCTGTGAGGTGGGGGGGGGCCGTGGGGGGGCTGTGAGGTGGGGCGCCGTGGGGGAGCTGTGAGGTGGGGGGCTGTGAGGTGGGGGGGCCATGGGGGGGCTGTGAGGTGGGGGCGCCGTGGGGGAGCTGTGAGGTGGGGGGGCGTGGGGGGCTGTGAGGTGGGTGGGGGCCGTGGGGAGGTTGTGAAGTGGGGGCCATGACAGGGGGCTGTGAGGTGGGTGGGGGGCTGTGAGGTGGGGGGGGGCCGTGGGGGGCTGTGAGGTGGGGGGGCCGTGGGGGGGCTGTGAGGTGGGGGGCTGTGAGGTGGGGGGGCTGTGGGGGGCTGTGAGGTGGGGGGGCTGTGGGGGGCTGTGAGGTGGGGGGGCCGTGGGGGGCTGTGAGGTGGGTGGGGGCGCCGTGGGGGGGCTGTGAGGTGGGGGGGCGTGGGGGGCTGTGAGGTGGGGGCGCCGTGGGGGGGCTGTGAGGTGGGTGGGGGCGCCGTGGGGGGGCTGTGAGGTGGGTGGGGGCCGTGGGGAGGTTGTGAAGTGGAGGCCATGACGGGGCTGTGAGGTGGGTGGGGGGCTGTGAGGTGGGGGGGCCGTGGGGGGCTGTGAGGTGGGGGGGGCTGTGAGGTGGGGGGGCTGTGAGGTGGGGGGGCTGTGGGGGGCTGTGAGGTGGGGGGGGCCGTGGGGGGGCTGTGAGGTGGGTGGGCGCCGTGGGGGGGCTGTGAGGTGGGGGCCCGTGGGGGGGCTGTGACGTGGGGGGGCTGTGGGGGGCTGTGAGGTGGGGGGCTGTGAGGTGGGGGGGCTGTGAGGTGGGGGGGCGTGGGGGGGCTGTGGGGGGCTGTGACGTGGGGGGCTGTGAGGTGGGGGGGCCGTGGGGGGGCTGTGAGGTGGGGGGGCCGTGGGGGCGCCGTGGGGGGGCTGTGAGGTGGGGGGGCGTGGGGGGCTGTGAGGTGGGTGGGGGCCGTGGGGGGGCTGTGACGTGGGTGGGCGCCGTGGGGGGGCTGTGACGTGGGTGGGCGCCGTGGGGGGCCGTGGCCCGGGCACACGGCGGTGACTCTGGCCTCTTGCAGACTACGTCTACTTCGAGAACTCCTCCAGCAACCCCTACCTGATCCGGAGGATCGAGGAGCTCAACAAGGTAGCGTGTGCGCACGGGTGTGCTGCGTCTGCACTGCACGTTGTGTGTGTTGTGTGTGTGGCCGGCCCTGTGGGGCAGGTTGCACCCTTCCTGGGGTGACCTGCAGGCAGGTCAGCAGCCGCCCGGCCTGGAGCCGTGTGGGGGCCTGTCGGGTGGGTGGCCTGGCCGCTGTCTGCTCAGGTTCTGGGGTCTCCATCCCCCAACCACGTCCCGAGGGCACAGGGACAGCATCGAAACGGGGTCGGGACGGGCGGGCCCGCGCTGGGGGGCCAGCAGCGTGGGCGGCGCTCACTGCCTGTCCTGCGTGGCTGAGGGGCGGTGGCGGCCAGCGGCCCAGGGCTGGCTCCCGTGAACTTTCTCCGGACGCCGGTGGGACACGCTGTTGTCCTGAGGCCGCGGTCGGCAAACCGCCGCTCTGCTGACCACGGCTTTGGGGAGTCAGCCCCTCACCAACGGGGAGCGGCTGTTTGGACAGGAACAGGAAGGAGGGGCTGCGGGCGGGCGCCAAGAGGTCAGGTTGGGGCAGGGCCAGGCCTGGGGACGGGAGGGCCAGGCTGGCTCCGAGCAGCTCACACACAAACACACACACACCCCCCCCGACGCACGCACCGGGGAGGCCCCGAGAGAGGCCCCAGGGCGGAGGGAGGAGGCGGGGGGAGGAGAGGGGAGGCAGGGAGAGGGCAGGAGGCCGGAGAGGAGGGAGAGAGAGGAGGGCTGCGGGCGGGCGGGCAGGCGACCTCCCATGAGGCCGTTGGGGTGACCCTGCGGCTGTGGCTGTGGGTGAGAACGCAGCTCATGCCTCCTGGGAGGTCTCGGGAGCTCAGTGAGAAGTGCTGTCGGGGGCCCCTGCGGAGGGACTGCCTGTGTGAAAACGTACGTTCCTGGGGCCGGAGCAGCTCTGTCCTGGGGGGCACCGGCCGGCCTGCCCGTCCTCCGTGTGCCCGCCTGGCGGGCGGTCCCACAGCCGGAGGCCCAGCAGCTGACCTTCCTGGGGGCCAAGGGTCAGTCAGGGCTGAGGGGGGACTCAGAAGCCCGGTCCCCTGGACGGGGCGGGGGCGGGGCGGGGCGGGGGAGGGGGGGAGGCATGGCCGGTGACCTGCCCCTTGCTGTTGCAGACGGCCAACGGGAACGTGGAGGCCAAGGTGGTGTGCTTCTACCGGCGGCGGGACATCTCCAGCACGCTCATCGCGCTGGCCGACAAGCACGCCAGTGAGTGCGCCTCCCCCGGCACCGCCACCCCGAGCCCCCTGCCCTGCCCTCCGGGGTGGGTCCTGGTCTGCTTGTCACCCAGGAGAGGGAGTGCCGCTGCCTACAGGGTGCAGGCGGCGGTGGGGTGGGCCCTGGGTGCAGGTGAAGGTGCAGGCGGGGGCAGGGGTGGGGGTGGGTGGGCCCTGGGTGCAGGTGAAGGTGCAGGCGGGGGCGGGGGTGGGTGGGGGTGGGTGGGGGTGGGTGGGTCCTGGGTGCAGGTGAAGGTGTAGGCGGGGGCGGGGGTGGGGGTGGGTGGGGGTGGGTGGGGGTGGGTGGGCCCTGGGTGCAGGTGAAGGTGCAGGCGGGGGTGGGGGTGGGTGGGGGTGGGTGGGCCCTGGGTGCAGGTGAAGGTGCAGGCGGGGGTGGGGGTGGGTGGGCCCTGGGTGCAGGTGAAGGTGCAGGCGGGGGTGGGGGGGGTGGGGGGGGTGGGCGGGCCCTGGGTGCAGATGGAGGTGGGTCCTGGGTGCAGGCCGGGGGCCGCTCGTGTTGATGCTCCTGGGCTCCGGTGCTGGGAAGGCAGGCCTGTTCTCGCCCAGCACTGAGGAGCTTTGGCTCCGGGCTTCCCGGCTCCGGCCGGCCAGGCCCGCGGACAGGGCGGCCACCTGCTTTCTCGGCCAGGCTGCCAGAGCCATGTGCCGCGGCGGGTCTCCGGGCTCTGTCCTCGGTGCCGGGACACCGTCTCCGGGCCCGGACCCTTGGGCGGGGCCCTGGCCACGTGGCCTGCACCTGTGCCGTGAGGCCATCGTGTCCCCGGGCGCACGTGGTGACGGCCGGGACCCTGCCCACTGCCTGGGAGGGAGGAGGCTGGCCGGGCGGGCAGCAGCGGCCCCGCCTGGAGCGGCTGTGCCGGTCCTCGGTGTGGTTTGTCCGCCTTCCATTGTCCAGGCCACCGGGTGCCCTGGCGGCGTCCCCGTGACGCAGGTCCGTGCCCCGGGGGTGCTTGTGGGTCCCGGGTGGGCAGGGTGGTGCAGAGGCCTGAGTGTGGGCACTGCCCCTGCCCCCCCCCCCAGGACGTGTGGGTTCCCTGCGGCCACCACTGGGGGGCAGCAGAGGCCAGGCCGGTGGTGATGGGGCTGAAAGGCAGGGACCCAGGTCACAGCCAGAAACTCAGCTCACACCCTCCTTAGGTGGGAGGGGGTGCAAGCGGGTGCGGGGCGCATCCGCAGCCCCGCACGTGCCCTCAAAGCCGCACCCCCAGCCCTCACCCGCCCCGTCTGCCCGCAGCCCTGTCCGTCTGCTACAAGTCCGGGTCCGGGGCGGACGGCGAGGAAGGTAGGCCCAGGCGGGCGGGCGGGCGGGCGGCCGTGGCCCTGGGGGGCGGGGACGGGGGGGGGGGAACCGCTGACGCCCGGCCCGCAGGGGAGATGGAGGAGGAGATGGAGAACCCCGAGATGGTGGACCTGCCCGAGAAGCTGCGGCACCAGCTGCGCCACCGCGAGCTGTTCCTGTCAAGGCAGCTGGAGTCGCTGCCCGCCACGCACATCAGGTAGCGGGGCGGGGCCAGGAGGGGCGGGGCTAGGGCGGGGCCAGGAGGGGCGGGGGCGGGGGCGGGGCCAGGTGGGAGGGGCGGGGCTGCGGGTGGGGCCGAAGGGGAGTTGGGAGGCGCTGGCAGCGCCCCTGACGCTGGGCTCCGCTCCGCAGGGGGAAGTGCAGCGTCACTCTGCTCAACGAGACCGAGTCGCTCAAGTCCTACCTGGAGCGGGAGGTGAGGGCTGCCCTGCGGGGCGGGGGCGATCGGGTGCCCGCCCGCCCGCCTGTGCCCTCGGCCTGGCGAGGCCGGCGCCTGCCCCGGCCGCTCACCGGCCGCCGTCTTGCAGGACTTCTTCTTCTACTCCCTCGTCTACGACCCGCAGCAGAAGACGCTGCTGGCCGACAAGGGCGAGATCCGCGTGGGCAACCGGTACCAGGCGGACATCACGGACCTGCTGAGGGAAGGTAGGCCCGCGCTGACCCAGAGGTCAGGGCACAGGCCCGGGTGCAGGAGGCAGCCGATCTGTGGTTCTCTCGTTATCGATGCTTCTCTTTCTCCCTCTCCTTTCCTCTCTGGAAAAAACATAAGAACGTGAGAGGAAGGTGGTGGCCGGCCCGGGCAGCCTGCGTCCGTCCTGCAGGCCAGGCAGTGCCCGGCGTCGGGGTCCTGCTGGCTGGGGCCCTTTGGAGCTGGAACAGGCCGGGCCCAGGGAAGGTCGCCTCCTGGCACCCCCTCCTGTCCCCCCTCCTGGCACCCCCACCTGCCTGGCTTTCTGCCAGAGGGACACTCCTGTCAGGGTGACACGGGACTGTGGGCTGGGCCCCGGGCTGCGCTGCAGGGACCCCTGCTTGTGTCGGCGGGGCTGGCGCCCCGAGGGCCGGTGCACAGGCTGCCTGCCCGGGGCTCTCTGGATGTGCTCAGGCTGCGCTGCGTGACCCCGGGTCTGCCTGCGCTCGGCAGCTCCCCCCGGTGGACGTCCCCGGGAGGGCGCCTTGGATCTAGGGGGAGCCGCAAGCCCCTCCCGGTGCCCACGTGCCCGCCTCCTCCGAGCGACTGAATGTGACGTCTCCCCGCTCGCCGCCTCGTGGATGTGACGTCTCGTTTCTGTGTGGTCCTGCCTCCTGCACACACGCATGTGCCTCGCACACACCTACACTTACACACACACCACACACGCATGTGCCTCACACACACACCTACACTTACACACGCACACACACCACACACGCATGTGCCTCACACACACACCTACACTTACACATGCACACACACCACACACGCATGTGCCTCACACACACACCTACACTTACACATGCACACACACCACACACACATGTGCTCAGGCATGCACACCTACACAGACCGGCACAACCAGACACGCACACACATGTTCACATGCATGCACGTGATTGCACACACATTCACGCATACACACACACACGCTTCCTAAGGGTTTGGCGTCTGTCCTGCCGTGTGGCCCGATGGAGGAGTCATTTAGCCAGGCTGACGGCAGGCGTGTGGTGGCGGCCCTGCCCCTTCTGTGCTCACACACGTGTCTGTCCTGTGTGAGGCCAGGCTGTGCCACCTCCCGTCACGTGGTCCCCCAGCCCCGCAGGCCCGCCCCCCTCCGGTCCCCCCACCCCCTCACACACACCTTGGGGCAGGCAGACCCGGCCCAGGAGGAGCTGCGGCCCGTCTCCCCTCAGCGGGCTCGGCTCTCCCCGCAGGCGAGGAGGACGGCCGCGACCAGGCCAAGCTGGAGACCAAGGTGTGGGAGGCCCACAACCCGCTGGTGGACAAGCAGATCGACCAGTTCCTGGTGGTGGCCCGGTGAGCGCCCGCCCGGCCGGGGGTGCGGGGTTGGGGGGGGGGCTGCGTCTGCCCCCGGGGCCCCCTGGGGGCGTCTCCCGTGGTTGCCACTCGGTGCCAGCTCGGTGCCCAGTGGCCTTGGCGCCATCCTGCCGGCCGGCGGTCAGCTGTCTCCTCCCCCCAGCTCCGTGGGCACCTTCGCCCGGGCCCTGGACTGCAGCAGCTCCGTCCGGCAGCCCAGCCTGCACATGAGCGCCGCTGCCGCCTCGCGGGACATCACCCTGGTGAGAGGCCAGCACCGGGGCCGCTACCTGGGCCTGCGCGTCCTCACACCTGCCCCCCCCCCCACACACACACAGTGACACAGGCGCACTCACACATATACACTCCCGCGCACACATACTTGGTCACACACTCAGACACACACACGCACTTGTGCACACTCACACATACGCACTGGCACACATACAGACACACTCACACCTTCACATGCACACAAACATACACACACACACACACACACACCTTCCCTTCCAGTGCACACGGCAGCTCTGCCCCTCATGGCTGTAGCCCTGCCCTGCCAGGCGCTCTCCTCGGGGTCATTCACCGGCTGGGGGCGGGGTGTGGCAGGAGACAGCGGTCCCTGGCCCACGGGGGCTCCCCATGCTGCGGTGACCCCCAGCCCCAGCCCCAGCCCAGCCCAGCCCCCCCAGAGAGAGCCCGACTGTCCGCTCCCCCAGGGCCCTCCCTCCCCAGCCCCCCGACTGTCCGCTCCCCCAGGGCCCTCCCTCCCCAGTCTCCTGGGGGTGGGGGCTCCCGTGCGGGCACGGGTGCGGAGGGTGGTCACCCGCGTCTCGTCTCCCGCAGTTCCACGCCATGGACACGCTGCACAGGAGTGTGTACGACGTTGCCAAGGCGATCTCGGCGCTGGTGCCGCAGGGCGGGCCGGTGCTGTGCCGGGACGAGATGGAGGAGTGGTCGGCCTCGGAGGCCGGCCTGTTCGAGGAGGCGCTGGAGAAGTACGGCAAGGACTTCACGGACATCCAGCAGGACTTCGTGAGTCACGCGTGTGCGCGCGTGTGTGTGCGTGTGTCCGCGCCCCGGCCAGGATCAGGGCTGCCGTCACGGGTCCTCACTGCCTTTTTTATTTTTAATGTATTTTTATTGACGTTAGAGAGAGGGGAGAGGGAAAGGGGGAGAGAGATGAAAAGAGAGAAACCTCAGTGAGGAGAGAGTACACGGATTGGCTGCCTCTTGCACGCCCCACATGGGGATCGAGCCTGCAAACCGGGCGTGTGCCCTGACGGGATCGAACCCTGACCTCTGGGTTCATAGGTCAACACTTAGCCCCTGAGCCGTGCCGGCCGGGCTGCTTGTTTTACCCAGTGTACCTCTCCTCGCCGTGTCCTCCACGTGTGTCCCTGGAGGGTGTGCACGGGGAGCACGGGGATTGCCTCGGGCGAGGGCCTGGGTTGCTCATGCTGTGTGTGCAGAGGTGGCAGTGACCAGGAGCCCATGGGTGCAGGTGCCCGTCCCGAGGGCTCAGAGGCTGGGGACCCACCCAGTGTGCAGCCGGGGCTGCGGGCCGGAGAGGGCGCACGGGCAGGCCAGGGGCGGAGGGCGTGGCAGGCGCGGTGCTGGCATCCGGTCTCCACGCCAGGAGGCAGACGAATCAGAACGCTGAGCCGAGCGAGCAGCGCCTGTCGGACACGGGCAGAGCCGGGGGCAGCTCGCCCAGGCAGAGGCTCGACCAGAGCAGGGTGTGCGGGCGAGTGCAGCCACGGAGCCAGGCTGGCGCACCCCGTCCTAGAGACCCGCCTCCTCCTGTGACAGGTCAGGGGCGCCACGCAGGCCGGCGGAGCCGAGTCAGGCCCAGGCCTGGCGCCCCGTGGCCACCGGGCCTGGCCCGGGCACTGAGAAGGTGGCACCGTGGCAGGACGCGGGGAGAACCTCGGGCCCAGAGGCAGCCCCGGCTGCAGGAGCTGAGTGCAGGCACACGGCACGTTCCAAGTTGTGTTGGCGAAGCCGCACGCTTGCCAGCAGGACAGGGCCTGGCGTACTCACAGGAGCTGGCCGGGCAGGGCTCAGGCAGAGCCTTTGGCCAGAGGAGACGTGTGCTCAGAAACGGGGTTGCTCAAGGCGGTGTCGGGGCGCACGGGGCCTCCTCACTGCCTTCTCTCCCCAGCTGCCCTGGAAGTCGCTGACCAGCATCATCGAGTATTACTACATGTGGAAGACCACCGACAGATACGTGCAGCAGGTGTGCAGGGAGCGCACGCGCGCACACACACACACGTGCACAGGTGGGGGGGACATGGACAGACACGTGCACAGGTGAGGGACACGGACAGACATGTGCACAGGTGGGTGGACACGGACAAATGTGCACAGGTGGGTGAGGGGAACACAGACAGATGTGCACAGGTGGGTGTGGGAACACGGATGAAGCACCCCAGGGCACCGTGGTTCCGTGCAGCAGGCCTGGATGGGCAGTCGGGCCGACACCGGAGCGCCCTCCCTCCGGGCAGCACCGCCCTGGCCGCCCGCTGGCCTCACTGAGCCTCTGTTTTGTTTAAGAAACGCTTGAAAGCCGCTGAAGCAGAGAGCAAGTTAAAGCAAGTTTATATCCCCAACTAGTAAGTGCCCCGCCTCCCTCCCCTCTCCCCTCCCCACCCCCCGGCCGGGTGGGCACAGGGGGCCAGTCGAGGCGCAGGCCCCTGGTGGGTGGCCCCGGCCCGGGCTCTCCCTCGGCCTCCCAGGGGGCACGCTGCCCAGGTCGGTCCAGCTCGGTGGACGGACAGAGCCGGAGTGTGACAAGGGCCTGAGCCTCCACGGGAGCCACATCGGGACACGGGCGAGAGAGCTCGCACCCGGCCTGGAGGACGGGCGGTGCTGACGGTGCCGTGCCCTCTCTCCCCCCAAGTAACAAGCCAAACCCGAACCAGATCAGCGTGAACAGCGCGAAGGCGGGCGTGGTGAACGGCGCGGGGGCTCCCGGCCAGACCCCCGGGGCCGGCCGGGCCTGCGAGAGCTGCTACAGTAAGTCCCGGCGCCCAGCCTCGCCTCGCGGGACGCCGCCCGCGGAGCCCAGCGGCCCGGGCGGGGCTGCAGCGGGGAGCCCCGGGCCGGGACAGCGGCGTGCGGCGGGCGGGCGGCGCCGTGGTGCCCTCTGCCGTCGCCGGTTCTGCTTAAGAATCCGTCTATTTCCAACTTTGTTGTCCGTAGCCGCCCAGTCTTACCAGTGGTATTCTTGGGGTCCCCCTACCATGCAGTGTCGCCTCTGCGCGCCCTGTTGGACGTACTGGAAGAAATATGGTGGCTTGAAAATGCCAACCCGCCTAGACGGAGAGAGGCCCGGCCCAAACCGCAGTAACATGGTAAGTGGGCCCCGCCCCGCCCGCGCCGGGCCCGGCGGCCGGCCCGCGGTCATGGCGCTGTGTCGGGGCGGCGCGCCCCCTTCCGCAGAGCCCCCATGGCGTCCCGGCCCGGAGCAGCGGGAGCCCCAAGTTCGCCATGAAGACGCGGCAGGCCTTCTACCTGCACACCACCAAGCTCACCCGCATCGCCCGGCGCCTGTGCCGCGAGATTCTGCGGCCCTGGCACGCCGCCCGGCACCCCTGCCTGCCCATCAACAGCGCCGCCATCAAGGCCGAGTGTGAGTGTGCCCGCCCGTCCAGCCCGCCCTGTGGGAGGGGGTGCAGGGTGGGGTGTGTGTGCAGGGGGAGGGTGTGTGTGCAGGAGGGAGGGGTATGCAGGGGAGGGGGTGTGTACAGGAGGGAGGGGTATGCAGGGGAGGGTGTGCAGGGGGAGGGTGTGTGTGCAGGAGGGAAGGGTGTGCAGGGGGAGGGTGTGTGTGCAGGAGGGAGGGGTATGCAGGGGAGGGTGTGCAGGGGGAGGGTGTGTGTGCAGGGGGAGGGTGTGTGTGCAGGGGAGGGTGTGTGTACAGGAGGGAGGGGTATGCAGGGGAGGGTGTGCAGGGGGAGGGTGTGGAGGAGGGAGGGGTATGTTGGGGGAGGGTGTGCAGAAGGGGTGTGGGCCAGGGTATGCTGTCCCTGGTACACACACACACACACACACACACACACGCACACGCACACACGCCCCCGCACGGCGCCCACACTGCTGGCCCCGCAGGCACGGCTCGGCTGCCTGAAGCCTCGCAGAGCCCCCTGGTGCTGAAGCAGGCCGTGCGGAAGCCCCTAGAAGCTGTGCTCCGCTATCTCGGTGAGCCTGCGCCCCTCCCCTCCGTCCCCTTCCCCCCCCCCCCCCGCCCCTCCATCCCCGCCCCCCCTCCATCCCCGCCCCCCCCTTCATCCCCGCCCCCCTCTCCATCCCCGCCCCCCTCTCCATCCCCGTCCCCCCTCCGTCCCCGCCCCTCCCTCCTCGTCCTCCAGCCGGGACGGCTCTCCTGTGGCCGCCTAGGGGAGGAGGGTCCGAGGGCAGGCGTGCTGGGCAGGGCACGGGCAGCTGCACAGGAGGGCCTTCGTGGCCTGGGGCCCCGGGCCCCTCAGCTGGCGCCTCTGTCAGCCTCTTGCGCACGGGGCCGGGCCTGGGCCTCGGGGCCAACGGGCCCGTGCTCGGCCGGCTCGGGCGGCCCCTGAGCTGTGGAGGTGACTGTCCGCCTGAAGGACATTCCAGAGCGCTGAGCTCAGTGTGCCCACTCAGACCAAGTGGCTTGGCACCCTCGGCGCTCTGGGGTCGTGGCCCTGCGCCCGGCCGGCCCGGCCTGTGGGAGGCGGCAGCTCCCGAGAGGGGCAGTGGGGGAGGGGCTGTTCATCCTCCTCTGGCCCGTGGCCAGCCGGCCAGCAGCCCGGGGGCCAGACGTGGAGCCTCTGGCGGGCCTGCTGGCTTCCCTCCGTCGGCAGTCGGTGCTCCCGCCCACAGCGGGCTGCGGTGCGGGCGGCCTGGACGCCGGGCGGGGCGTCCTCCGTGGCTCGGCCGAGGTCCAGCTGGGGCCTGGGCAGCCCGGCCTCCCGCACTGAAGCCTCCGTGTCCCCGCAGAGACCCACCCCCGCCCCCCCAAGCCCGACCCCGGGAAGAGCGTGCCCGGGGTGCTGGGCGGCCTCGCCCCCGCCAAGTCCGCCCCCGTCATCAACCACGGCTCGCCCACCATCCTGGGCAAGAGGAGCTACGAGCAGCACAACGGCGTGGACGGTGAGTCCGCGGTGGCCGGCGCGGGCGCGGCCCGTCCCCCGCGCCCCGCACCCCGCGCCCGCGCTGACCGTGTTCTCTCTCCTCTCTCCCTGCCGCCGGGCGCCGCCAGGCACCATGAAGAAGCGCCTCTTGATGCCCAGTAGGGGTAAGGCCTGGGCGGCCGCTGCGCGGGCTGTGTGTCTGCTCGCGTGGTGGCGTGGCCGGGGCTCAGGGCACGTCCGCGGGGCAGTCCCGGGGCCAGGCCGCGGCCCCTGCACCTGCCGTTTGGCAAAGAGCTCGGTGCTTCCGGGGCTTCCGGGGCCCAGGGCTCTGCCCTCAGGCGTCCCCTCCCGGCAGCGCCTGGCCCGGGACTGTCCCCGCCGTCGCCCTGCGCCCGCTGCCCGCTGCGCTGTCTGCCTCGCGCTGTGACTGCCGCATGCCGCAGCCTCGCTCTCGTGGTCGCCGTGTTGTGTCTGCAGCTCGTGTGCGCCCTGCCTGGGGGGGTGATGGACGGAGCTGTGGGTGCGGTCGGCGTGGCCGGGGAGGGCTGCCAGGCCCAGGTGGCACGGGCTCAGCGCCCGCGGGGATGGGACCAGGCCGCCGTGGTCCTCATGTGCGTGGGGTTGGCAGTGGCCTCGGGAGCTGTTGGAGGTCCAGGCCCTGCCTTTGCCCTCTGCTGCAGGAGGGCATTGAGGGCCGTGGGCCGTCGGCCTGGGCGGGGACCTTGACTGAGGAGTGGCCAGCCCAGGCCGGGTCAGCCCGCACAGCAGCCACGGGGAGGACGGAGCCACGAGGAACGGGAGGGTTCGGGGATCGTGCCCTGAGCTCCTGCCAGCCCCTTGGGTGGGCGGTGGTACCTGGCTCCTTGGGCGGGCTTGTCTGGGCTCAGCACCTCGTGGCGTGGGGGCCGCCAGCCAGCCGTCCCCTGGCACCCCTCCCCGCTGCACGAGGAGCCCAGCGGGCACGCCGTGGGCTCACGCGGCCGGCGCCCGGGCTTCGGGCTGTCGTGTGAGAGCGATTAACAAGCAGGCGCGTGGAGTCTGTGTGCACTTGTGGGTTTTTCAAAAATTGGGTGCTTCCGTGGCGTCTGTCAAGCTTGTGGCTGAGCGCTGGGCAGGGCCAGCCCCACCTGGGACTGTACCTCACTGACTCAGGCCCCTCGCTCTGCGTCCCCTCCCCGCCACCCCTTCCCCCGCATGCGCCCTCCCTAACGCCAGTGTCTCTTTTCTCCGCACCCGTCCCTCTGGGTAGGCACTTACCTGGGTAAGTAGTGCCGGGGCCGGCTCTCACACGGGCACACTCACACACACACACACACACACACATTCATACACACGGGCAATCGTACTCACGGACACGCTCTCACACACGTTCATATACATGGGCAATCATACACATGGACATGCTCTCACATACATACAGGCACATGCTCACACACATACGGGCACACGGACACACAGACATTCATACACTTGGACACACACATAGGCAGGTGCACACATGAGCAATCGTACACATGGACACACACGGATGGACATGCTCACACACAAACACGATCAACATGTGGGCAGAGAGAGGCCGTGTTGGCCTGATTTTGCTCATGTTCTCACCCACATTGTTGGAGCTGGGGCCGCGGGTGTAGTGGACCGGGCGGGCGTGGCCTGGGAGGCGCCCGTCCTGACTCCTGGCGGAAGCGGCGGCTCCAGCCCCCAGCTGGTCAGTGGGGGCAGCGGCCACTGGGTCTGGGCGTGGTGGCGTGGAGGGGCCTCTGTGCCGGGCGGGCCGGGGCGGCAGCTGCCTCCTCTGCCAGCCGAGTCAGCGGCACGGCCCTCGGAGTCTGGGAGCTGGGGTCCCCTGAGGCGCCTGTCCCAGGCCTGGGGGGGGGGCCTGCCTCCCCAGGCAGCCGAGGCGCTCAGGGGGAACGCGGCCACGGCCTCACGTTCTGTCCCCCTCTTGTCAGGCCTGACGAACCACGGACAGACCAGGCACATGGTAAGGGGGAGGGCACGCGTGTGCACATACAGCCTGGGGCTTTGGGGAGGAGGTCCAAGGGACCGGCGGAGGGCAGGCCGGGGCGCCCTGGGCCCTCGGAGTACCCCGCCCCTGGGAGTGTTGGGGTGCAGACTGAGGCCCAGGGATGCCCCTCACACCTCCCCTCGCCCAGGGACCAAGCCGGAACCTCCTGCTCAACGGGAAGTCGTACCCCACCAAAGTGCGCCTCATCCGGGGGGGCTCCCTGCCCCCCGTGAAGCGGCGGCGGATGAACTGGATCGACGCCCCTGACGACGTGTTCTACATGGCCACCGAGGAGACCAGGTGGGCCGGCCGCCAGGGGTGTGTGTCCCCGGTGTGTGTGTGTCCTGTGTGTGTGTCTGAGGGGGTGTATGTGTCCTCTGTGTATGTGTCTTATGTGTGTGTGTGAGTGTTCTCTGTGTGTGTCCTGTGTATGTCCTGTGTGTGTGAATGTGTGTGCATGTGCGCGTGTGTCTCTGTGTGTGTCCTCTGTGTGTGTGTCTTGTGTGTGTGTGTGTCTTGTGTGTGTGTGTGTCCTGTGAGGATGTGTGCGCGCGTGTGTGAGTGTGTGTGCATGTGTGTCGGGGGCGGCATGTGTGCTCACTGGCGCTTTGCACTCCCAGGAAAATCCGCAAGCTGCTCTCGTCCTCGGAGACCAAACGGGCCGCCCGCCGGCCTTACAAGCCCATCGCCCTGCGCCAGAGCCAGGCCCTGCCGCCCCGGCCGCCCCCGGCCGCGCCCATCAACGACGAGCCCATCGTCATCGAGGACTAGCCGCCCGCGCCCGCCGCCGGTGCCACGCGGCCCGCCCGCCCGCCCGCGCCCGCCGCCCGGTTTTGGTAGTGCCCTCCCTCCCGCCCTGCCCGCAGAGCAGCTGCCCGGCCCGCAGGCGGCCGCTCGCAGCGGGACTGTTCTTAGCTTTGTGTTCCTTTTTGGCCGGAGGAGCGAGGAGCCGCCGCACACACGTGCGTCCCGGCGGCCGGAGTCGTGTTTGTTCTGTTGAAGGTGCCATTTTAAATTTTATTTTTATTACTTTTTTTGTAGATGAACTTAAGCTCTGTACCTTACGCCTGGAACGCCAGGGCCGGCGCGGCCGGCGGCCCAGCTGCCTGGCGGGTCGTCCCTTGTCTTTTCAAGTAATTTTCATATTAAAAAAAAACAAAGAAAAAAACTCATAAAAAAGAAAAAAAACAAGGAGACCTGCTTTTGTCTGTTGTGTCTGTCCCACTCCCTGCCCAGCCCGCCCCCACCCACCCGGCACCCGAGGAGCGGGTCAGGAGGGAGAGGCCGTGTGGGCACCGGCCGATGGGGTCACCTGGTGCGGGAGGTGGGGGGCGGCTCCAGGCCCAGGCTCTCCCTGCGGGGAGGACCCCCGAGGGGCCCGGGAGCAGTGGTGGTCCTGGCCTCCCCCCTTCTCTCCCCTCCGCCACTGTCCACACCGCCTCCTTCGGGGCCTGGCCCAGCAGCCCCTCCAGAGGGACTCGGGGCCCTCAGGGTGGGTGGACACTGTCTGAGGCAGGGTGGGTGCCCAGGGCCCCCCACACCGTGGCCGTGGGGCAGCCAGCACCCCGCCTGCTCCTGGCAGAGCCCTGCCCAGCTGTCCAGGCTTCTGTCCGGCTGGGCAGCACCGGGCAACCCCAGCAGGTGTGGGGTTTCCGGTGAGAATTTGCTCAGATTTCAGCAAGGGCGTCCTCAGAAACCCGACCTCTGGCATCCCCGCACCCGGAGGGGAGGGGGGCCTCCTCCCACCTGGCCCCGCCTCCCGCTCCCCCTCACCTCACCGGGCGGCAGGCACCCCTCGCTGGGCTGCAAATAGAAGCCGCTGGGAGATAAGGCCTCTCGCTGCCGACCTGTGATGGACGCCGGGTGACAGCCCAGGGTGTCGCCAGATGGCCCTGCACCACCACCTCCACGCTGCAGCCCTGCCCCCCAGCCCCGCTGCCCAGACGGAGATTAGGAGGTGACCTTGAGAGCTTCCCCGGGGAGGGGGAGGCTCTGCCCGGGGCCTGCACCCCAGCCCTGCCCCCTGAGGCTGCGGGTGCTCCCTGCCTGCTGCCTTCCAGGGCCCGGGCCGGAGCGAGGTGGCCGCCTCCCTCCCTGCTGCAGGCAGGCCCTGAGGATACCTCCCCCGCCTCCACCCAGGCACGGGGAGCGGGCACACACTGGGGAGCACGGCCAGGCGCGCCATCCCTGGAAGCCCGGCTCCTCTAGGCTGCTGTCCCATTCCCCCCGGGCACGGGCCATCTCGGGGGGCGAGAGTGGTCCCATGAGGGCCCTGCCTGCCTGGAGTCCTGCCGAGCCCCCCCCCCCCCCCCCTCGGGGAGCTCAGCTTGGGTCCTTCAGCCAGAGCTGAGACCAGGATCCTGTTATGTGCAAACGTTGCCAGGACGACGGGGCACAGAAAGACTGGAGATCCGGGCGATGTCATGCCACCATGCCCCAGGGGAGGGATCTGCCCCATGCCTGGCCCGGCCGCCTCGGGGCCGCCTGCTCTTCCGAACCTCGCTGTCCCTGTCCCACCGTCCCCGTCCCACTCCGTGGCCTCAGGTGCACACTGCTGCTCTGTGTCCACGGACCAGCGACCTGCCCACCGGGCCTGACAGAGTCCTGGTGCCTGAGGCAGCCGGGAGGAGGGGGAGCAGGGGCCTGTCCCTCACTCTGGGGCATGTGGCCAGGCCGGATGCCATTCCTTGGACCCGCCCACTCTCTCAGGCAGGGCCGGCCTCCCCCCAGACACCTGTGCCGCCTCCACCTGGTCAGTCTGCCCTGTCTGGTGGAGTGGAGGAAGGAGGGAGTCGGCCAGGGGCTCTGCGTGGAGAGGGCACAGTAACGGCGCCACTGGGCGGGCACCGGGCCAGGAGCTAAATTATTCAGAGACACCGGAGCCGCCTGAGCGAGGAGCAGGCCGAGAATGAGTGACCTGGGGGAGCCCTGCAGCTGGCCCCCGTCCGGGGAGGGGAGCCCCAGGCTCCTGTCTGCCCGCCTGGGCTGGCGCGGGGCCAGGGCCGGGCACCGGGTGCTGGTCAGGCTGGTCGGTCGGGCTCCGGGGAATCTTGTGTTTCAGTGGCTGGAGGGTGTGTGTGCGGGTGGGGGTGGGGGTGGGGGTGGCCACCCCAAGGAGCTGGGCCAGGGCAGGGCGCCAGGAACCCGGGGTTCGGGAGGCTGGGCAAACTCCCCGGCTGGTCTCCAGGCAGGCAGGGCCCTTGTGGGACCACTGAGGACCTGGGAGGGGCGTCTGTCCATCTGATAGGCTGAGGAGGCTGAGGCTCAGCGGGGCCTGTGGTGAGGGGAGCCCGGGGAGGAGGTCGGAGGGTCCTCAGGTGCCCCCAGGGTGGGAGCGCCGGCGAGTTAGAGCCGGATCCTGCAGGCTCTGGTGGAGGGAGGCGGGGAGCTGCGAGTGGCCAGGCAGCCCCCGTAGGGGTAGGACTGCAGAGCCCCAGACCCCTTCCCCCTCCCTCTTCCCTGGGGGGGGGGGGGGACGAGGACACTTTGAGGCCGCGAGGCGGAGGCTGGTGGGTGCAGAGAGGGGTGCGCGGGCCGAGCTCCAGCGGAGCGGGGCGAATTCCCGGAGGGCGCCCTCCCCGCGCTCCTATACCCCCACCCCCACCCCCGGCACATAACACCTTCCGCCCGGCGGCCCCTCCCGCCCTCCAGCAGCTTCTCTCGCTGTTTTTGGAAGTGGGCGTCCTGCCCTCCACGCCGCGCCCTCGGCACCGCGGACAGCGCGGGGGGAGGGGGCGGGGGGAGGAGGGGGAGGGCGGGAGGGGGGGCGGACCCGCCTTGGGCCCAGTGGCGGACCCGCCAGGAATCCGGATCCCGCCGCGCGGCCGTTGCCATAGAAACCGAGCAACAAAGGGACGAGGGGCGCGCGGAGGGCGGGGGCCGGTCCTCGGGGAGCCGGGTGCCTGGCCGGGCGGGCCTGCCGTCCGGGCGTCCGTCTGCCTGACCAAGGGACGCCCTTCCGGCCCCGCGCCCCGCCGGCCAGGACCCCCCCGAACCCAGGGGCCGCGCACGCCCCGCCCCGCCCCGCCCGGCCCCGCCCGGCCCGCCGCCCCGACGTTGTCATGGGAACAGGCGCGGCGGGTCCAAGCGGGCGGCGGCCGCCTGGTGCGCGGGGCCGCGGGGCCGGGGGGCCGGGGGGCCGGGGGGCCGGGGGACCCGGGGCGCCGGCAGGTCCAGCCGCCCCCGCCCGGCGCTGGCAGGTGCACCCCGCCCGGCAGCGCCCCCTCTCCAGGCCGCGGAGCCGGGGGCGGGACCCCACGCCCCGCCCCGGCCGCGGAGCCAATGGGCGCGCGGGCAGCCCGGGGGGCGGGGCGGCCGGGGCGGCGGCGACGCGGAGACGGGCGCGGGCCGAGGGCGCGAGCCACCGGGTGCACCGACGACCATGGCCTCCAAGTGCCCCAAGTGCGACAAGACCGTGTACTTCGGTGAGTGCCCGGCCGCGGACCGCGCCCCGCGCCCCCGGAGCCCCGCGCGCCTGCCCGCCCGGCCGCCGCCCCGGGATGCGCGGCCCCAGCGGAGTCCCGCGGCCGGTCGGTGCGGCCCGGGGTGGAGCTGCGCCGGCGGGGCCACGCCCGAGCCCAGCCGCGGCCGGTGGGGTGGGCGCGCGCGGACCCCGGGCCGAGGCCGGAGGGGGGGGCGGCCGGTCCCCGGGGAGGCGCCGAGCGGAGCGCGCGCGGGCGGGTCGGGTCCGGGGCTCCGAGCGCCGCCTCCCTCGCTCTCCGGACTTCCTGGGACCTTTCCCGCCGCCCGGGTCTCCGACCCGCGGCACATGGCCCGGCCGACGTGGCCCAGGGCCCCAGCCCTCGCCCGGACCGCAGCCCACGCGGGGCGGGCGGATCCGGGCTCGCTCTGGCCTCGGTCCACGCGGGGGCGACCGCGGCCTCTCCCTCCGCGTGCCCCAGCCTGCGCCCTCCTCGGCGCGAGGCCCCGGCGCTTCCCACGGCGGAGAGGGTGGAGGGGGTCCCCGGGCGGGAGCGGCCCCGGAGCCCGGCCCGCTGCCCCCTGCGCCCCTGGCCGGCCCGGCCCGGACAGACCCCTGGCGCGCACCCACCGACGGGCGCGCTCACCCTCTCCCTCTCCCATCCCAGCCCCGCCTCAGCCAGACGGGCGAGTCCCTGCCCGCCCCTCCCACCGCCCGCACATGGGGAGCCCGGGCCAGCAGGCAGGGTGGCCAGAGGGTGGGGCAGACCAGGGCTCCTTCCCTGGCCCTGGAGCCGTGGTCAGGGCCGGGGTGGGGACGGGCCGAGTGGAGGAAGCGGCCTGGCCTCCCTGCTGGCGGGCCCGGGCCGGAGCGGGCTGCCGGCGGTTGTTTGCCGATCCCAGAGGGAGGAACCGGATTTGGCCTGGAGAGCTTCTGGCCTGGCGGGGAGCCTAGGGGCTTCCGGCCGCCGCCTCCCAGGAGCCCTCGGCCCTCCGTCCCGGCCCAGCGGGGCTCCTGCCTGGGCGGTGCCGGGCGGGAGACAGGCCCGGGTCCTCCCGCCCACCCGGCTGCTAGCGACTCTGCCCCCCAGCTGCCCCTGAGGGTGGACAGTCCTGAGGACAAGGCGGAAAAATGCTGGAGCCTGGGCGGCCGCTCTGAGCAGGAAACAAAGGCGCTCAGACCCGCTGGCGGCTGTCCTGCCGGGAGGGGGTGGCGCGGAGGGAGGGGGCCGCGGGGACCAGGTCCTGCCCACCGCCCGGCAGGCTGCACCCCAGCACCCCTCCTCCGTGGCCAGCACCTGAGTGTGAGCCCAGCGGACGGGGCCAGACATGCAGAGTGACCCGGGGACCCTGTGCCTTTGTGTCCCCAACAATGGTGCGGCCCGGTGGGGTGCCCCTGCCTCCCCAAGCCCTGGGATCCTGTCGGCCCGGCCCGGCCAGGGGTGTGCGGCTGTTGACCTGCCCCTGGGTCTAAGGGTCATCCCCTGCCCGGGGTGGCCACGTCCCAGAGCCCCAGCTGCAGGTGGCGGTGGTGGCCCTGACCAGGCCAGGGGCACTGGGCGGGGACTGGGCTGGTGCCTCTGAACGCGCTGAGCTCCTGAGCTCCCGCCTGGCCCCGGGGGTTGGGAGGACAGGGGGCCCCACTCCCAGGCCGTTGGGCCCTCAGGGAGGCCTGGCCCGGACATCACCCCTGAGTGAGGCTGACGGAGCTGCTGGTCGCCGGCCAGATTCCGCCCGGGGCACAGGGCCCAGCCTGCCCCCCCAGCTCCCCGCTGTGGGCCAGGCCCTTCCCGGAATTCCGCTGGTCCCTGGCCTTTCTTCCTGCCTCTCCTGGCCCTTTTCCTGCCTGCGCCCTAGGGAGCCCCCCACTTCCCTCCGTGAGGAGCTGGCCAAGCAGCCCCCACCACGGCGGGGGGGTGGGGAGTGAGTGCCCAGCCGACCCTCAGCAGCTGGTCCCAGACCCCGGGCTCCACACAGCAGCTGGAGGCAGTGGGGTGGGGACTCGGGGCCAAATGCAGACAGGCAGGCGTCCTGCCCCTCGAGGTCCCCCAGGGGGGTGGGAACTGGCCTCCCCTCGGGGACTGGAGGCTCAGGCGCCTCCCTGGATTGGGGCTTCTGCCAGCTCCACCCGAGCCTGACCAGGGGGCGGAGTGGTCAGGGATGTGTGAGGAGGTGGGCGTGCAGGACAGGCAGGACACGCCAGCTCACAGCCCCGGGCAGGGAGGGCACCCAGGCCAGGGGGCGGGCACAGGCCCCGCGGAGCAGAGGGGGCACGGCGGGCTCTGACCCCCCTCTCCCCGCAGCCGAGAAGGTGAGCTCGCTGGGCAAGGACTGGCACAAGTTCTGCCTGAAGTGCGAGCGCTGCAGCAAGACACTGACGCCGGGCGGCCACGCCGAGGTGAGCCTGCCACAGGACCGGCGGGGCACGCGCGTGTGTGCGTGTGTGTGTGTGTGTGTGTGTGTGTGTGTGTCACGCTGAGATGAGCCTGCCACAGGGCCGACGGGGCACGGGGCTCCCCACGCTCGGGCGTGTGTGTGTGTGTGTGTGTGTGTGTGTGTGTGTGTCACGCCGAGGTGAGCCTGCCATGGGGCCGGTGGGGCACGGGGCTCCCCACGCTCGGGCGCGCGTGGGGGGGGGGTCAGCAGGCCAGCCACCGCCCTCACCGTGCCCCGTGCCCCTCCACTAGCATGACGGGAAGCCGTACTGCCACAAGCCCTGCTACGCCACGCTGTTCGGACCCAAAGGTGAGCGTGGCGGCCGCCCCGCTGGTCTGTGGTGGCTGCAGGGGGGTGGGGGGCGCGAGGGGGAGAGCTGTCTCTCCCTGCCCATCCCAGGACCGTCCCTGCTCACCGCACCCCCTGGAGAGGGTCCTGGCCGCGTGGGACAGGCCGTGAAGAGCCATTCTCTTTTTTAAAAAAAATATTATTGCCCCAACCGGTTTGGCCAGTGGATAGAGCGTTGGCCCGCAGACTGGAAATAAATAAAAACATATTAATAAAAAAAGAGCAGGCAGACCTAGCCAGTTTGGCTCCGTGTACAGAGCATCGGCCTGCAGACTGCAAGGTCCGAGGTTCGATTCCGGTCAAGGGCATGTACCTTGGTTGAGAGCACATCCCCATGGGGATGTGCAGGAGGCAGCTGATGGATGTTTCTCATCGATGTTTCTAGCTCTCACTCCCCCCCTTCCGCTCTGTAAAAAATCAATAAAATATTAAATGTCAGAGGAAGGGGGAGAGAGAGAGAGAGAGAGAGAGAGAGAGAAACATTAATGATGGGAGAGAATCATGGATCCGCTGCCTCCTGCTCGCCCCACACCAGGGATGGAGCCCGCCACCCAGGCCTGTGCTCTGACCGGGAATCAAACTGTGACTCCCTGGTTCAGAGGTCGGTGCTGACCACTGAGCCACACCGGCCGGGCTGAGAAGCCGGGTGAGGGGCGCGGCCCGGGGGGGTGGGGAGGGCGCGGCCACCCCCTCCACGGCGCCCCCTCCCCGCAGGCGTGAACATCGGCGGCGCCGGCTCCTACATCTACGAGAAGCCGGCGGCGGACGGCCCGCAGGTCACCGGCCCGGTCCCCGTGGAGGTGCCCGCTGCCCGCACTGAGGAGCGGAAGGCGAGCGGCCCCCCGAAGGGGCCCAGCAAAGGTGGGCGGGCTCTGCGGGGGGCGGGCTCTGCGGGGGGAGGGGCGGGGCTCTGCGGGGGGCCGGGGAGGGGCGGGGCGGGGGCCCGGAGCCCCTCGGCGCCCTGACCCCCTTCCCCCCCAGCCTCCAGCGTCACCACCTTCACCGGGGAGCCCAACATGTGTCCGCGCTGCAACAAGCGGGTCTACTTCGGTGAGTGAGCGCCCCGCACCCTCCCTCCACCCCCCTGGGCAGGTGCCCCGGCCCTCACCTCCCCCCTCCCCCCCCACTCCCCTCCCCCCCACCCCCCCAGCCGAGAAGGTGACGTCGCTGGGCAAGGACTGGCACCGGCCCTGCCTGCGCTGCGAGCGCTGCGGGAAGACGCTCACGCCCGGCGGCCACGCGGAGGTGAGGGCGCCGCCCGCCCGGGCGCTGGGAGGAGCTGGGGGGTGGGGTGGGGGCGGGAGGGGCGCTGGGAGGGATGTGGGGGGCGGCTCGCTCAGGGGGTGATGGGCGGGGCGGGGCGGGGCGGGGACCCTGGGCTCCGGGGGACCGAGGCCGCGCCGGGCGGAGGGGCTGCCCCCTGGCGGCCGGAGCGGAGGCTGGTGGCACCGCGCTGTGCCCGGCCCTGGCCTTGGGCGCTGTGGGCTCCCGGGGAGGAAGCCGCCGGGCGGGCGGGGACAGGCGTCCGGGGACCCACCGCACCCCTCCCGCCCCCAGCACGACGGCCAGCCCTACTGCCACAAGCCCTGCTACGGCATCCTCTTCGGGCCCAAGGGTGAGTGCGACCTGCACCCTCCTCCCCACCCCTGCGCGCCCCCTCTCCTCCGCACCCCCTCCCCTCCGCACCCCCTCCCCACCGCACCCTCTCTCCTCCGCTCCCCCTCCCCACCCCTCTCCTCCCCTCCCCTCCGCACCCTCTCCCCTCCGCACCCCCTCCCCTCCGCACCCCCTCCCCACCGCACCCTCTCTCCTCCGCTCCCCCTCCCCACCCCTCTCCTCCCCTCCCCTCCGCACCCTCTCCCCTCCGCACCCTCTCCCCTCCGCACCCCCTCCCCTCCGCACCCCCTCCCCTCCGCACCCCCTCCCCTCTGCACCCCCTCCCCTCCGCACCCCCTCCCCACCGCACCCTCTCTCCTCCGCTCCCCCTCCCCACCCCTCTCCTCCCCTCTCCTCCGCTCCCCCTCCCCTCCGCTCCCCCTCCCCTCCGCTCCCCCTCCCCTCCGCACCCCCTCCCCTCCGCACCCCCTCCCCTCCGCACCCCCTCCCCTCCGCTCCCCCTCCCCACCCCTCTCCTCCCCTCCCCTCCGCACCCCACCCCTCCGCACCCCCTCTCCTCCGCACCCCCTCTCCTCCGCACCCCCTCCCCTCCGCTCCCCCTCCCCACCCCTCCGCACCCCACCCCTCCGCACCCCACCCCTCCGCACCCCACCGCCCCCTCGGCCCTCTCCACAGGAGTGAACACTGGAGCTGTGGGCAGCTACATCTACGACCGGGACCCCGAGGGCAAAGTTCAGCCCTAGGCGCCGCCTGCCCAGGGGGCAGTGCCAGCCGCCCGTCCTGCCTCCGAGGGTCCGGCCCAGCCCAGGCCGGCGTGCTGGGGGAGGACGCCCCTGGGCTTCTCCAGAGAGACCACCCGCCACGGCCCTCGGCGTGCCCGCTGTGCCCGGGCCTCCCGCCTGTGACCCCGTGTCTTCCTGTCCCTGTCTCCTGGCCCCCGTGTCCCCATGGCCTGGGCCAGCCTCACCCCTCCTGCTGCCGCGCCCCGTTATTTATCTCCCTTCGCGGGGGTCACAGCCGCACCCACGGTGCCCCGACAGCCCTCCACTGCCTCCCACGCTGCCTCCCACGCACTGCCCACCACGCTCCTGTGGTTCACGCAACGCAGACTTCTGCTCAATAAATGGTTTGAGGATCGCTGGGCCCCACGTCTCCATCTCCCCCCACCACCACCACCCAGGACTCCCAGCAAGCCGGGGGGCTCTGGGCAGCAGGTCCAGGGCTGGTGGTGGGAGGGAGGCTGTTTTGGGGGTGGTATGGTGGGGGGGGGGGCGGGCTCCTGGGATTGGGGTCCGGAAGTGGAGAGGAGCCTTGTAGGCCGAGGTCACCCCCCTGGAGCCTGTGGGCTGAGGCTGCACCCCTGCAGATGCCAGCACTGGGTATTAGGAACCGCCTGGGTCCCTCAGAGACCCCCAAGATGTGGGGGGTCAGCCTTGGTAAGGGGGCAGCTGAGCAGAGGAGGGGTGGGTGGTTGAAGGGGGCCTCCAGCCCAGGACTGAGCCTGGAAGCCCGAGGGCTGGGATGGGATGGAGACCAGGTCCACCCGGCTCCGCCCATCAGCAACGGGCTGCCTGGCGGTCCGGCGTCGGTGGTGGCCCCGGGGCAGTGCCAGCCACGTCCCTGGGCGGCTGCTGCAGCGGCGGCGGGGCCCTCCCAGGCTCCCCATCTCATCCTGACCCCTGGGGCTCCGGGGCGCCCCCACCGCGGGCGGCAGATCTCCGTTTGCAGCGCCCGGGCGCCCCGCCAGAGGGCGCGCCTTCCCCGCCCCTGGGCGCCCGGGCAGCCACCGCGCTCCGCCCCGGCCCCGGCCCCCGACACCCCCCTTCCCCGCTCCGGCCACGCGGACCCCGGCCGGTCCCCTCCCCGGCCCGGTGCCTCCCTCCCCGGAAGCCTGGGCGTCGGCCTGGCCACCTCCGAGCCTCAGACGGCGCCCCCCCCCCCCCCCCCCCGTGCCCGCGCCCCGCCCCGGCCGCCTCCCCCCGGGACCGGCCGGGCTGGACCTGCCGTCGGGCCCTTGGTCCGACGGCAGCCACGTGTCGGGGCGGAGCGCCGGCTCCGGGGCCCTGAGGCCAGGCCCCCCACCCCCCCACCCCCCCCCCCCCCCCCGCCAGAAGGGAAGGGCGGGAGGTTCGGTGCCCCGGGGAGGGGCGGGTACCCCGGCCCACCTCCCGGGTGAACTGAACCCCCAGCGGCCCCCCTCCGCCGCCCGGGTCCCGGTGTCCGACGGGAAATTCCTGGCCGGCGGGCGGGGTGGGCCCGCGGGGCGCAGCCGGCCTCCCCCGGGGCCGGGGCCGCAGTGGAAACTATGCGGGCGGAGCCGGCGCCGCGCGGGGCCCGGACTGGGGGGTGGGGGATGGGGGTGAGGGGAATGAGGGTGGGGGGTGAGGGTGGGGTGGGTTTAGGATGGGGGCCGGGACCTACTTGCAGGGGGGCCCCGCCGGCCCGGGAGCGGGGGGCGCAGGGGTCGCCCGGACGCGAACACCCCGCCCCGCCGTCTGGCGGGAGGGCGCGCCCCGCTTCCTGCGCGGAGAGACGCCGCCGTGTTTGTTTCCAAGCGGTTGTCATGGAAACCGGGGCGGGGCCGCCGCGGGACTGGCAGAGGCGTCTCCGGCGCGTGGGCGGGGGGCGGGGGGGACCCCCTAACAAGACAGGTGCTTCCCCCTCGGCTCCCGGCGCCCTGGGCGCATCCGGGCTGGGCCCTGGCCGGTGTGGCGCAGTGGGCAGAGCGCCGGCCTGCGGACTACAGGCTCTCGGGGTCCGTCCCTGATTAGGGCACATGTCCCCATTGTGGGCTGATCCCCGTCAATGATTCTCCCTCATCACTGATGTTTCTATCTCGCCCCTCCCTTCCTCCCTGAAATAAACAAAAAAATATATTTTAAAAAATAAAAGGTGCACGACCCTGGTTCCTGCTCCACCAGTGAGGCAGCCCCAAAATGCCATCTGACCACCACCTTGCTGTACCCCAAAACCCCAGGGCTGCACATACCACCTGACCTTCACCATCCTGCTCCCCAAACCCCCCAACCCCACCTCCCACTGGTCCAGCTTTCCCATGACGCCTGGCCAGGCCCCTCTAGGTCCCTGCCACACCCCCCCCTGACCTCTGACCTGGGCCCGTGGGCCCCCCAGTTCCCTGAGGCTCCCCAGTTCTCAGGGCAGACCTCCCCCGCCCCTTGTGGACCCCATGCAGCTCAGACTGGATCCCCTGGACTTCTTGGGAGGGTGGGTGGGGGGTGGGGAGCGTGGCTACCTCCCTCCTGGATCCGAGCACCAGCTCACTGCCCATTGGCTATGGCCGGGGGCTGCATGCCAGTGCCCCTGGGGGCGAGGTCAGGCAAGGACTGAAGGTTCCAGGGCCAGGTGTGGGCAGCACATTTTCCCAGACCGGCCTGGCTGGGGGCGGGGAGAGGGCAGCAGCTGGCCTGGCTGTGGGGGGCTTAGGGGGCGGGCGGCCCAGCAGCTGGTCTGTGAGGGTGGAATTTGGGGCGGTTTTGCATGGGCTTTGGCTCCAGGACGCAGATTCCTGGAAGCGCACTCAGCTGCGGTGTGGGGCGGGCCCTGGGGAGGGCCGGGTGCCCGCGGCCTCTCTGTGGACCCTGGCTGGCAGAGGGCGCTCAGGCCGCAGTGCCCCGCCCTCTGCATGCCAGGCCTCCTCCCCGTTGGCCTGGCGGCCCCAGCAGAACCTTTCTGGGAAAGGGCATCTGTGGTCCCGCCCCCAGGCCTCAGGGCCAAGAGGGGGTCCGGCCTGCAGGCCTACCCTGGGGCCAGACCACGGGGCAGACGGGTTCCCCCGAGAGAGGCAGCTGAAAATAGGCCCTGGGAACGTCTGAGTCCCTCTCCTGGCTGAGCCTGGGGGGGCGGGGGCAGGGCTGGAGCGGAGGCGCTGCTTGGTCTCCGCTCTGCGGTCGACCGGGCACGTGTGGACTGTGTGTGCGCAGAGCAGGGGACACTCTCACCTGCCCACACCCCTGACTCATCGGCCGGGCCGCAGACCTGGAGGCCAGGGAGGGGCGCCGGGTGTGGCCTCGGGGTGAGGTGGCAGCACGTGCCATCAGCCCTGAGGAACCGAACTTTCCCCGTGGGCTGCGGTGGATTCCTCAGAGGTCACCGGGCGCAGCCTGCCTCCGTGCCTGGGCCTGTGGCCTCCGGAGGCTGGGTCCCGCCGGCCCTGCCTGCTCCCCCTCCGGTCTCCTCCGTGGCCCCTGAGGCTGGGGGAGGGGTGCAGAGGCAGGGTGAGCAGGTGGCGGTGGCCTTGGCTCGGTACTCAGGGCCCGGGCTCTTCCCCCCCCCCCCCCCCCCCCCCGCCCCGTCTCAGGGCCCCAGGTGCCCGCCCTCCTGCTGTGCTGGCAGCGGGATGTTCCGGGCATGGGAGCCACCTGGGGCACAGCTGGGTGCTTCGTGTCCTGTCCTGGCCACGCTGTCCTTCATGCTGCAGACAAGGCCCTGGGGCCTGGGGCCAGTGCTGGGAGCATGGGGCAAGGGGGAGAGAAGGGGGGCCCGCACCTTGGAGTATGTGAGTGAGGGGCTCAGTTCTTCCCTTTGTTCCTGCAGCGCGTGCCAACAGCACACGCAGAAGAGTGGGGTCAGGAGTGGAGGCCGACAAGGCCCCGAACTGGGCCCTGGTCCTCGTCAGGGGGACCAGTCAGCACTGCGCCCCCGGCGTCCTGGGCCGGTGCCTGATGCCAGCAGGAGGCCTTGCCCCTGGGGGGCCCGGTCAGGGGTGCTGAGAGGAAGCCTCCGAGGGGCATGGAGTCTGAGGGAGGGGGGGCTGTCCCCCTGGTTCCCAGGAGCTGGTATGGGGTCCCCACGCCATGGGCATGCGGGACAGGTGGGGACTCAGGGGAATCTGAGGGGCACACCAGGCTGTGGCCGGAGCTCTGGGAGGGCTCCTGTGTGTCCCTGAGTGTGTGTGTGTATGTCCCTATGTGTGTCCCTGAGTGTGTGTGTCCCTGAGTGTGTGTGTGTGTGTGTCCGTGTGTGTGTGTGTCTGTGTGTGTGTGTGTCCCTGAGTGTGTGTGTGTGTGTCCCTGAGTGTGTGTCCCTATATGTGTCCCTGAGTGTGTGTGTGTGTGTCCCTGAGTGTGTGTGTCCGTGTGTGTGTCCCTGAGTGTGTGTGCGTGTCCCTGAGTGTGTGTGTCCGTGTGTGTGTGTGTGTGTGTGTGAGTCCAGGGTTGGAAAAATCACGACGCCTACCAACCAGAGGGCGAGGCCATTGGCCCTCCTCCCCTCCCCTCTCCCTGTTTCCCGCCCTGTGATCATGGCAACGGGCAATAACAGCAGGAGTCATCGCCCAGGTTTTCCGGGCGGGGGCTCCCCAGGGCGAGGCTGCAGTTGCAGGCGGAGGAGGGGGGAGGATGGTCGCTGCTGCACTGCCGCCTTCCCCCCCCCCCCCCCCGCTGCTGGGGTGGGGGTGTGGGGGCGTGGGGGCGTGTGGGGCGAGGGCAGAAGCATGGGAAGCCGAGTGGTCTGAGAGGAGCCCGTGCTCCCCACACACAGTATGCCCACGGGCGAGGACACACACACACACACACACACACACACACACACACATGGCCGGGCCAGTCCGCGCACCAGGTCATTGACAGAAGCCCCCCGCCCCCCCCCCCGCCCCCATTACCCCTGTCCACCTCCCTCCTCCGGCTGCTCCGGGTCTGGGCCAGGAGGGGAGGGACGCCCGCTGCCTCAGACGGCCTGGGTGGCCTGGGCCACTCTGGGGCCGGGAGCCGGGGGAGCGGCTGGC